CGAATAAATAAAGGTGGGCTTTGGCCCAATCTTTTTCAACTCCCGATTTGCTCCGCTTTTCTTTCAATTTCGGGACCTGTTCGTCGATTTTAATATCTGGATGACTCCGATAAAAGGGAATATGGGCCTTTGTGGCCCAAAAGGAAATGCGAAGATAAAATCCATGAGGACCCGGACGAATTTCACATGCAAACACAAAAATGAGGATCAATAAGTAAAAGTTATGGATAATATAAGAAAATTTATTTTATTCTAATATTTATTACACTACTATATATTACACTACTATGTTCTAATCTTTATTATACCACCATATTATAAAATCTATATACTATCATATTCTAAGACTTACATACTACCATATTTTAATATTATATATACTACCGTGTTCTAATATTTGTATTCTACCATATTTTATTATTTATTATACTACCATATTATGATATTAGCACGGTGGAGGATGATGTATGTCACCAAGGGTCTTAGATCCATACACAAGTGACATTTTAATATCTTTGGATTATTAAAAGCTACGGTCAAAATTTAACAATTTTAGAAATTCCAATAATAACTAAATCAAAATCTTATCTAAAGCTTCCAAACTACAGTGACTAGACTATAATCCACTAATGACCACATGACTTGGGCAATTGCTCATACAAACATTAAGGCAACAATAAGAATTAGGGAACAAATATACGCTAGTAAGCATGAGTAACAGAGAACAAATGGACCAATCAATTGTATATAAGTGAAAGCAAAACAATTAGCACACCATCTTTAGTCTAAGCTTTAACGGGAGAAATTCTCAAAGGGATAGTTGACCATATGCCTACTGTTCGTTTCAGGTCAAAGAGAGTAATATTATCTTCACAGTTTATTTGAAAAGTAACACAAACCGGAGAGGAAAAGTTCTTATAAAATTAACTCACCAAGGATACGATCATAAATTAAACGACAAGAAGCATTAAAACTCACGTACCACACCGCTGTCAGTCAGCATGAACTTAGGACCCAAAAGAACAAGACATCAAGGCGTAAACTCTAGACAATACAGTAGCTAATCCCAATATTAGAAACTAACTCCAAACTCCCTTTGACAAGATAATCTTACTGGCAAGACGCGAGAATGAGTCCACAATTTAGGGAAAAGAAGAACTAAGCAGAAATCTCCAAGGAAAAAGGAACGAAAATTCCTACATTTACGACAACTCGACCATCCCAAAGCATGTTGTTCTAAATAAGATCAGGAACAAAATAACATAACACAACTTTGTATTAGCTAATTTCTTAGATTCTGCTCCTATTTTGGAAAGAAAGTGACATTGACAGACCAAGAAAAGGGTCAAAATAGCAACCACGGAAGATTTTCAGCTGTCCTAGCCGACACCAAACCGAATGAGCAACCAAACCATAAAAGGGGTGGATAAATACAAAAAGTCGAAAGACAAATTAGAGTTCGAAAATTACTAGAATTTTCAGCCTTAAATTTGCTAGAAAAGACTCATTTTAATCTCAAACAACTAAGATGCACATGATTCTAAACCAGACGACCTCTCGACAGACGAAAGCCATAAACTAGGCAGAGAACAGAAACATTCTTAAAAGGACGAAAGCATGCTACAGCTCCATTTCACTTCATTTCATACCAAAACAGAACAAAAGGGGGCCTGAATTCCAAATGAGTTTACCTTTTTTGGTGCAACGAACTGAGGCGACGGGCTTGAGAGACGAACTTCACCACGCCAAAACTTCCAATACGAATAGCGCTCGAGAAGTACGAGCAGAAATATTGAACACACGCTGAAATTAATTCCCTTTCTAATTTACTATAGTATATTCAGTATCTATTTCCTTAACTATTTTGCTTAAGTTGTTTTCTGGAACTTCCTCAAAAGAAAAAAGACCAACTCCCCCCCCGATTGACACTGTAAATAGTGAAGTCTATATAGAAGGAGCTTAGGGTTCACGATTTTGGGGGGAAAGGAATAAAATTTCGATTCAAAGGGCTCAATTCGAAATTCAAATTCTTAAAGAATCTTACACCATTAAGGGAAAACAAGCTTTTTTTCTGAAATTTCAACTCCATTCCGGAAAAGGAATGGAGGATGGACGGTTGGATCGATTCCCATCGTCCTTGGAGCTCAACGTGGCCTCATCCCACAACCTCAAGGACGACAATAGTAGCTGGAAATACGGAAAAGCTGTACAGAAAATGTACCAGCCTGCTGAAGGAGACGTTGGGGTCATATTTCCATCTATCGCCGTGTCCTCTCCGTGAACTCGCCACTGTCTGAGGGATGTGAGGCGCGTATGGCATTGGTGGTGTCGTTCACGTATCTGTCGTTTGCCAGCCGTGTATTGCTCTGTTTTGGGCGTCATTTGCTGTAGTTTACGCTACTGGTGGGTATTCTTTGTTGAACAAGGAGTGGGCCGGGTCGGGAACATGGAATTGGGTTGAGTGATATTGTTTTGGGAATTTAAGAATGGGCTGGACGGTTGTTGTTGTTGATTATTAGTGTAATGGGTGTATAGAAGGAGTGGGCCGGCTGGGAAAAGGAAAGAGGGCCCAAAATGATCTTGCAACAGGTTTAACGTTTTGGCAAGGAATGGATTGGATTAAGAATTGGCCAAATGATTTGCAAAATTAGCCAATTGAATTTAGAATGTAACCAAATTGAATTTGATTAGCAAATTCGGCCAATGTTCAAATAAAATGAGTTGACATTAATTAATTAACGAGTTTCTTAGTTTTGACAAGATAAAATAACTGACTTAATTATAAACTAATTAATTCAAAAGTGTAAACTATTATATAACTAAACCAATTTGTAAAATATTTGAGCGAAATAAAGTCTTTTTAATGTGATTTTCGAATATTTATAAAATGTATTAACTATATATATAAAAAATATGTAAAATATAAGTATTGTCTAAAAATTATAATAAGTGACATAACCTATTTAAAATAACTTGCAAACTATTTTTCGAAATTTATAAAACTAATTGTTTTAAATCATTTGAAATCTAAGAAGCTCGAAAATTAATCGTTATCGGGGAGGGTCAAAATTGGGTGTCAACAATCCTCATCCTTGGGACATGAGAGATTCTTCTTCTTTTGCAAGATGAGTTTTTGACGTCCATGGCTGTCACTTCCTTTGAACAAAATGGTTTGCTAGTTTTGAGGTGTTTGGTCGGTTGAACTTTCCATATATATAGTGGTCTCCAAGATTTTGAAATTTTATTTCAAGCCAAAATGACTGTAGACGTTGACTAGATACAGTTGGATGACTTCTAGAAAAATATTTAAGGAAAAAAAATTAAATGCTACTTTCCATTATTATTCTTTTGGATGACTTCTCAAAGTCAAAAAAAATAATAAGTGACTTCTTTGAACATTTACCTTATTTAGCCATTTGAATCGGATGCCATCAATATTTTACCTTTTTTGATGAAGTTAATAATTTACCATAGAAAAATTTGAGATACCTTCTCATACATTATAAAGTAAGGAGATTGATACTTTTTTTTGTTTTTTGTTTTTAAATTATATGTGGTGAACGTTGATGCTATGTTTATTTTGATTGTTATTTAAATTTACTATATCATTAGGTAAGAAAGTCGGATGTGAAGAAACAATATGTGTCCTTATATTTTCTTGGAAAACCTTTCTCCAATGTTTAGTTGGTGAGTAAAAAATGTATCCTATAGACTCTCCTTTATATAACTATGATGTTCGTTCCTACTTGTGTGTAATACATCGACTAATTTTGTGGGGTACGTGCTACGTCCAACCAACACAAATATCGTGTAATTCGATCCAAGAATTAGGGTTTGGACACTTGGGAAGAAATGACCTAATATTTTTATATTTCACGAGAATTTCAATATATTAATTAATGAGATAGAAAGTATCCATAAAGCTTATTCCTTTTATACAATAATGTAATTTGTATTAAATAGAGAGGTGCATTGAATTCAAGTTCTCTCATATTAAACAAGATCAAAAGAGTTAGTTGTTAATCATATATATATATATATATAAAAGAGAACCCTCAACCCGATGACGTGGTGCCACTAGAAGTAAGGATTCTCTTTTTATTTATTTATTTATTTATTTCCAATACTGCCATTCCCCTCTACAATAGGAACGTAGATTCAGCCTTCAATAACTGCTTCTCCCGTTCATTTATGACCACTCTTGCCGCTCTTCATTAACATTGCGCCTATTTACAACAGTCGACCCGCCTATATATATGATGCGCCCTTGCAAATCAGGATTCTTATTTATTTTACTCTTTTTAAAAGTCATAATCATACGGAAAAGTAACTATTTAGTCGCTGCTAATATATATAATAGTTGCCACTAATAATTTGTTTTAGTAGCAAGAATAATCGTCATTAATACTCATAATGGTCAGCACTAAAAGAATGTTTTAGTGGCAAAATTAGTCGTTGCTAATACCTATAATAGTCGCCACTAAAAGATTGTTTTAGTGGCAAAATTGGTCGCTGTTAATACATACAATAGTCGCCACTAAAAGAATGTTTTAGTGGCAAGAACAATTGCCGCTAATACTCATAATAGTCGCCACTAAGAGAATGTTTTACTGGCAATATTAGTCGCTGCTATTACGCATAATAATCGCGACTAAAAAATGTTTTAGTGGTTAAATTAGCTGCTGCTAATACCTATAATAGTTGCCACTAAAAGAATGTCTTATTGGTAAAATTAGCCACTGCTAATACCTATAATAGTCGCCATTAAAAGAATGTTATAGTGGCAAAATTAGTTGCTGCTAATACATATAATAGTCGCCACTAATAGTTGGTTTTTGTGGCAAGAATAATCGCCGCTAAATGTCAATATTAGGGGCATATGCAGTTGTTGCTAATGCTTATTTAAGTTGCAGATGAAAGTATGTTTTTACTGACTATTATGATCATATTTAATCCCTATATTGGTTGCCACTAAAGGTAGGTTTTGGTTGCAACTTAAATTAGTCAACACTATAAGTAGCATTTAGTGTCAATTTTGATCGCTTGTAAAAGTATGGTACAGTGGCAACTTTAATTGCCGCTAATACCTGCAAAGTACATATTAGTGGCAAGTTTAATGACTGCGAAAAGTACTTGTTAGTGAAGTTTGTCGAAGTTAAGTGTAATATAAGTTACCACTAAAGTCAGTATTAGTGGCAATTTTAGTCGCGCTAATATATAATTAGCCTCCACTAAAAGTATGTATTCATTACAACTTTTGTCGCCACAAATGTAATCTTTGTGACAGAGTTATCTTGGACATATATTATGTACAGTCTGGAAATTGTATTATCACGAATGAAAATGTCTAGATGAATTACAGAAGATAATAGAGCGGAATAAAGGAGTTGTAATGTCATGCTAGCACAAGTACTATTAATATGGTACCAAAGCACCATAAATTATTGTATTGAGTTATTTACAATAAAACTTACAGACTTAGAAGATGTATAATAAAGGTGCCTGAAGAACTGATACAGGGGAAATGGTAATTAATCGATTACCGAGTTATTGGCATGTTGACTGTCCATTTCTAGAGTCATCAACGATTATTGCCATTGACTATATTAAGGCAAGTGAGAAACTTGGTATATATTTACGAAGTCTAAAATGAAACGTGAGTGAAATATCTTTATATAAAGTTGGACATAACAGAATCTGATTGCCATGGACTATATAAAGGCAAGAGAGTAACTTGGTATATAGTTAATGAAGTCTAAAATGAAACACGAGTGAAATATCTTTACATAAAGTTGGACATAATTAACATCTATGTTTGATATGAGAATTTTTTGGATTTCATTTTGTTTATTATAATCCTCTTTGTATTTAAAGAATGATTCTTTGACTAATGATATATAAATTTTCCCCATAATCTTTATAACGTAAATGCTGTAGTTGTGTTGGTTCACTAGAAAATAAAAGGAAAAAGAGTTTAAGTTCTATATGTTGATGATGTATAAATTATTAATGCAAATATCAATTAAGAGTTGTTATTACCAATTATAAAGAAAATGGAAAGTTTAATTTTTTAATGGAGCTCAGGTTCTGGTCCATTTGCCAGTATAAACACACTCACAATTTGAAATGATAAATGTTTTAAATATTATTCGTGAATTGCACGGGTAGGTATACTAGTTATCTTAATATTAACAATTAACAACATAGAAGAAAAACTTAAGCCATCTGATTCCAAAATCCATCAATTTCATCATATTCATAATATAAATAGTAATTAGCTTTTAAGATTTCTCTATCCAGAATTCAAAAGCATCCAAAAAATAGTAAAAGTTTTATAGCAGAAGCACAAAAGCAAAACACCATATCACGGAGGAAATAAGATAAAACAACTACTCTAAACTATCTGAGTCTTCGGATAAACATTAGTGACTTGAAAGTCGTCCCCCATGATAGTCTTGAGTGAGTAAAAGCTTGGAGTGTATGTAATCGCTGTAATGACCTTACCGTAAACATAAACCACCCTGAAACTCTTCATTTTTGGGTTGTACGAAGCTAGCTTGCTGCCTCATTGAATTAAGATTTCTCCATCTTTCCACATAAGTATCGGTTCAAAATTAATGTGAACCATACCACGCGGAACAGAATCCACCAAAATGATTTCTTTAGTCCAAGATTCAGAAACCCCATACTCTTTCATCCACCAGATATCAATATTAGTGGATGATGTGTTGTAATAATCAGTCAAACATAAATAATTTCCCAACTCTACTAGCTTCAAGTTCCAGGGTGGAGTTACCAGTCCCGGTGGAGCTGGCAGGGACTTGACCTTTTCTGTCTCAATATCGAAGAAGTAAATGATGTCATTTTTTTCGCTATCCATCCAATGAAGAGCACCATTGATATTAACCTTGTCAAACTTATCATACCATACAGGACATGAAATTTCACCCACATTTCTCCATTTCTCACCAACTCCAAGAGTATAAACCTCCAATTCCGATACTTTAGTAACCTTTCTAGCTACAAATCTCAATACCTTATACTTTCCAGACGCTTTGCTAAAGCAAAATCCATAAGTAACACGCCAAACACTAATCTCCCATTCAGGCAATTTAACTTCGAAATATTCACCCAAAAGAGGATTACTAATATAAACAAAATGTTTCTCAATATTTGTCGAACCATTCACGAAACAAGTGAATCCATTACACAAACCAACTAAAAACACTCTCCCTGGAGGGTAGTGAAACTCAGGGGTCAATTGAATGGGTCTGTTACAATGGCGAGCATAATAATTATACTCTGCTTTGAGTTCTAGAAGCGAAGGCTTGCCCACACCATCGAAAAGATAAATGCAGGGGAATTTGAGGGATCTTGTGTGATACATGTTAGCAAATAAAGTGTCGTAAGATAAAAGGTTGTACCAAAGTTTACACACAGTCTTACATCGGAAAATGGGCTTAATTGACAATCTTGAAAGAATTTCGATCAGAATCATCAATGGAAGATCCATAATCCTCATCCTCGGGACATGAGAGATTCTTCTTCTTTTGCAAGATGAGGTTTTGACATCCATGATTGTCACTTCCTTTGAACAAAATGGTTTGCTAGTTTTGACGGTTTTGGTCTTTTGGACTTTCATATATATATATATATATATAGGGTTCCAAGATTTTGAAAATTTTATTTCAAGCCAAAATGAATATAGATGTTGACTAGATACAGTTGGATGACTTCCAGAAAAATATTTAAGGACAAAAATTAAATGCTACTTTCCATATATATACTGGGCTCCAAGATTTCGAAAATTTTATTTCAAGCCAAAATGACTATACACGTTGACTAGATACAATTGGATGACTTCTATAAAAATATTTAAGGACAAAAATTAAATGCTACTTTCCATTATTATCCTTTTGGATGACTTCTCAAAGTCAAAACAAAAATAAGTGACTTCTTTGAACATTTACCTTATTTGGCCATTTGAATCGGATGTCATTAATATTTTACCATAGAAATTTTTGAGATACTTTCTCTTACCTTATAAAGTAAGGAGATTGATACTATATTTTATAGAATGTGAAATAGTGATAAAGAGTTGCGGAAATGTCTCGGAAAAAAGAAGTGACTTTTTCTAAAAGAGTTGAATGTATTGCATGGATTTAGTTTAAATATCATGTTTGTTTTGATCGTTACTCAAATTAACTATACCTTATGTTTAAATTCATCATTAGGTAATGATGAAATATCTCATTTTATGTTAACGATCGATTTGGTGTGATTACATCGGTACTTTAATATTTTTCATCTCATTTTGTCTTTATTTTTTTTCTTTCTTTTTTCATTTTGTCTTTACTTATTATTTAACAATCTTATTTTATTTTTTACCCTACCGTTTTATAGAAGTTTTACTTTGTATCCTACTTTTGTTGTAGGTTTATCATTCAAATTGTTGATGTATGATATATAAAATGAATAAAAGAAATGAAGCTTTGTTGACTTTGCAATGCAAACAACTTAACGTTAAAATGGACTTTAATATATACACTAGAATTCAAAAGCATCCACAAAATAGTAAAAGTTAATATCAGAAGACCTAAAGCAAAACATCATATATATTGTGGAGGAAATAAGATAAAACAAATATTCTAAAGTATTTTAGTCTTTGGATAAACATTTGTGACTTGAAAGTTTTCCCCCATGATAGTCTTGAGTGAGTAAAAGCTTGGGATGTATCTAGTCGCTACACTGACATCACCGTAAACTTTAACCCAGATGAACCTTTTCGACTCGGGTCTGTATGAAGCTAGGCATCTGAAACTCTGAATCAAGATTTCTCCATCTTTCCAAATTAATATTGGGTTTATATTAAACCTATTAAAAGCCCGCGGAAGAGAATTCACCATAATGGTATCTTTAGTCCAAGATTCAGCAACCCCATACTCTTTCATCCACCAGATATCAATATTAGCAGACCATCTGCTTTTATCATCAGTCAAACACAGACAATTTCCCACCTCTGCTAGCTTCAAGATCCATGGTGGAGTTCCCAGACCAGGCGGAGCTGGTAGAGACTTGATCTTTTCTGTCTCAATATCAAAGGAGTAAATTTTGTCATTTTCTTCGTGATACATCCAATGAAGAGCACCATTGACAATAACCTGGCCAAATTTATACCTTGTAGGACATGGAATTTCACCCACATTCCTCCATTTCTCACCAACTCCAAGAGTATAAATCTTCAATTCTGATACGTGAATATGCTCTCTAACTACTAATCTCAATACTTTAAATTCTCTAGAGACTTCGCTAAAGCAAAATCCATAAGTAACTTGATTAACACTTATCTCCCTTTCAGGCAATTTAACTTCGAAATACTCACCCAAAAGAGGATTACTAATGTAAACTGAATGTTTCTCAATATACATCGAATCATTCAACAAACAAATGAATCCATTACATGAACCAACTAAAGACACTCTCCCTGGAGGGTAGTGAAACTTAGGGATCAACGGAATGGGTCTTTTAGAGCGGCCATAATAATAACGATAACCTTCTTTGAGTTCTAGAAGAGAATGTTCGCCTATACCTTCCGAAAGCAAAATGCAGGGGAATTTAAGGGATCTTTTTTCATACATTAAAACAAATAAAGGGTCGGGATATAAAATATTATACCAAACTTTACAAACACATTTACATCGAAAAATGGACTTGATTGGCAATCGTGAAAGAATATCAATCATAATCACCAATGGAAGATCCATAATCCTCATCCACGTGACTTGACAGATTCTTTTTTCTTTACCCTTAGAGATTTTGACGTCCATGGCTATCACTTACTTTGAACAAAAGGAAAAATTTCCCAAATTTTGAGGGTTTGGGTGGGGTGGACTTTCATATATATAGTGCGCTCCAAATTTTAAATTTTGAATTTTAATTAAAAAGGTTCCCATAATTGAACCTTTTTTCTCTTTATGTCTTCTTGAATTATACAGTTGGAGGTAATATTTACTTTTTTTCTCTGTATGTCTTCCTGAATTATACTGTTGGAGGTAATACTTACCTTTTCTCTCTCTATCCCTTTCTGAATTATACTGTTGGAGGTAATATTTACTTTTTTTCTCTTTATGTCTTCTTGAATTATATTGTTGGAGGTAATACTTACCTTTTCTCTCTCTATGTCTTCCTGAATTATACTGTTGGAGATAATACTTACCTTTTCTCTCTTTATGTCTTCTTGAATTATACTGTTGAAGGTAATACTTACCCTTTTCTCTTTATGTCTTCCTGAATTATACTGTTGGAGATAATACTTACCTTTTCTCTCTTTATGTCTTCTTGAATTATACTGTTGAAGGTAATACTTACCCTTTTCTCTTTATGTCTTCCTGAATTATGCCGTTGGAGGTAATATTTACCTTTTTTTCTCTTTATGTCTTCCTGAATTATGCCGTTGGAGGTAATATTTACCTTTTTTTCTCTTTATGTCTTCCTGAATTATGCCGTTGGAGGTAATATTTACCTTTTTTTCTCTTTATGCTTACCTTTTCTCTCTTTATGTCTTCTTGAATTATACTGTTGTGTAATATTTATCTTCTTTTCTCTTTATGTCTTCCTGAATTATGTTGTTGGAGGTAATATTTACCTTTTTTTCTCTTTATGTCTCTTCCTGAATTATGTTGTTGGAGGTAATATTTACCTTTTTTTCTCTTTATGTCTTCCTGAATTATGTTGTTGGAGGTAATATTTACCTTTTTTTCTCTTTATGTCTTCCTGAATTATGTTGTTGGAGGTAATATTTACCTTTTTTTCTCTTTATGTCTTCCTGAATTATGTCGTTGGAGGTAATATTTACTTTTTTTCTCTTTTATGTCTTCTTGAATTATATTGTTGGAGGTAATACTTACCTTTTCTCTCTCTATCTCTTCCTGAATTATACTGTTGGAGGTAATACTTACCTTTTCTCTCTTTATGTCTTCTTGAATTGTACTGTTGAAGGTAATACTTACCCTTTTCTCTTTATGTCTTCCTGAATTATACTGTTGGAGGTAATATTTACTTTTTTTCTCTTTATGTCTTGTTGGAGGTAATATTTACCTTTTTTTTCGCTTTATGTCTTCCTGAATTATACTGTTGGATGTAATATTTATCTTCTTTTCTCTTTATGTCTTCCTGAATTATACTGTTGGAGGTAATATTTACCTTTTTTTTCTCTTTATGTCTTTCTGAATTATACTGTATGATGTAATATTTACCTTTTTTCTCTGTATGTCTTCCTGAATTATACTGTTGGAGGTAATATTTACCTTTTTTTCTCTTTATGTCTTCCTGAATTATGTCGTTGGAGGTAATATTTACTTTTTTTTTCGCTTTATGTCTTCCTGAATTATACTGTTGGAGGTAATATTTACCTTTTTTTCTCTTTATGTCTTCCTGAATTATGTCGTTGGAGGTAATATTTACTTTTTTTTTCGCTTTATGTCTTCCTGAATTATACTGTTGGATGTAATATTTATCTTCTTTTCTCTTTATGTCTTCCTGAATTATGTTGTTGGAGGTAATATTTACCTTTTTTTCTCTTTATGTCTTCCT